GGGAATTGAACAGTGACCTCGTGGTTCATAGAACAACGCGCAACCACTGAGCCGCACCAGCCGAGCCAACAACATATTTTGAATGGCAGAAACTGCTTAGGGGCACCTGTCGTGGATTTGGGTGAGGCCAGATCTGGGGAAAGGCCCTGAGAGATCCCCTGGCCGGAGGCCCGTGCGCTGACAAGGGATGAAAGATTAATCTCCTCTCAGCCTTCCTCTGTGTCATCATCTATTTCAGGAGAATGGCAGCTCTTCACCCTCCCAGCTCAGGTGTCAGCAGCTGGGAAGAAGTCATTAGTGAAGGGGACAGAGCCCCGAGGGGTGGCGGCAGAGGCACGGAGCCCCCTGCCCAAGGAAGGGGCCTGGCTCTCCCTTACGTGCCTTGTGGAGAAGGAATGGTGCCATGAAGGCACGGAGCAGTGGGCTGTGGGCAGGGCCTCACTCCCCTCAGCGCGCCTGCTCCCTGAGCTTTCTCCCTGGGAGAGGAGGCCAGCGGCACTGGTCCTTCCCCCTCTCTCGGGCTCTGCAGCCACCCTGCACATACGAGGTTTGGTAGGACAGCTGGCCGAGCGGGATGATTTGTGGCTGTGGGACAGGTGTCAGCCCATCCTTGAACTCCATCTTCCTCTAATCCATTGGTTGGACCTTTTGAGTATAAACAATGGCAACCGCCCTGGCTGATTTGGCTCAATGGATAGAGCATCGGCCTGCGGACTAAAGGTCCCTGGTTGGATTCCGGTCAAGGGCATGTACCTGGATTGTGGGCTCAGTCCTCAGTGTGGGGCGTGCAGGAGGCAGATGATCAATGATTCTCTCTCATCATTGATGTTTCTCTTTTTCTCTCTCTCCCCTCCCATCCCCTCTGAAATCAATAAAAATATTTTAAAACAAAACAAGACAAAAAACCATGTCAGCCAACTCTGGCAAATATGAGCAAGAAAGGGGCTTATTTCAGGGATATCAGGTAACTCACACACTGAAGAAACACCAGGGACAGGCTCAGCATAGAATGAGGCAGCTCCACCTGGGCTGGTGCAGCTCAGTGGTTGAGTGTCGACCAGGAGGTCCCGGTCATGGTACATGGGTGGGTTTTGGGCTCCCAGGAGATCTTAGTCATAGGCGGATGGTCTTTTCCTCAACTCCTACCCCTGCCTTTCACTGCCCAGCTGCCTCGGAGACAGACAGGCGACAGGCTCGCTGCCCTGGGGGGTTGCAAACTCAGATGCTCGAGCAGGGGCCAGCCAGGTGGCACGGGTGAGTGAGCAGGCCCGGGCATGTGTCCTGTCTCATTACAAAAGCCTGACAGTTGTCTCCATGTGGCAACATTGCCTCATCTGATTTAAGTGGTGGTATTTGTTTTTAGATTCTTAAAATAAAAGACCTGGTGATGACAAACAAAAGCACTGGGCAGCCCGAGCGGGGCTCCTGGCTGTGAATATTAGTCTCTTAATCCAAACCTCAGTTCCGGGCGCTGTCCATCCATCTACCCATTTCGGAGCAGCCAGGAGCCCTTCCCCTGACAAGGGAGGGAGGGGCGCGATGGAGGATTCTGTCTCCTTTTCCACTCCCCTCCTGGGGACACATGGCACAATATATATATTGATTTCAGAGAGGAAGAGAGAGGGGGAAAGAGAGAAGCATCAATGATGAGAGAGAATCATTGATTGGCTGCCTCCTGCACACCCCACACTGGGGATCAAACCCACAACCTGGCATGTGCCCTGACCGGGAATTGAACTGTGACATCCTGGTCTCTGAGCCACACCGGCTGAGCTGGAGACATTTTTTTATTGTCACAATGGGAGGGGACATGCTGCCGGCCTCCATCAGGCAGAGGGCAGGGACAATGATAAGCATTCTCAGTGCACAGGGCGCCCCCACGTTATAGGGTTTTACAGTCCCAATCGTCAATGTGCTGAGACTGAGAAATTCTGGTGTAAAGTAGGATCCTGCAGGAGAGAAGAGGAAACCCCAAAGTGAGGTCACCCCAACTCCCGAGTCTGCAGTCGGCCTTGAACGCATCTTTGGAAGGCCCTGGCAGCAATGCTCTGTCCCCTCTGCCGGCCTCACTGACTCTTTGTCCGACTCTTCTCACTTCCCGGCCCTTTGTGAGCTGCGGAAACCCATCAAGCCGGTGGATCTTATCGTGAAAGCACCTACAAGCGTGTCCCGGGGTCTCCCGCCCCGGGTGGGCTCCTGTTTGGCGGTTTTTAAACAGGTCTGTCTCTTCTAGCCGCAGAGACATGTGAGGTGACATTTCCTCAAAGCGTCACTCTGTAAAAATGCCAAACTAATCTCAAGGCACAAAGAACATTGTGGAAAGCAGAACTGGCGTGAGGCGTCGGGGCGGGCTCTGAGGCTGGTGGTGTTTTGTTGTGTTTGCTTTCCAGTGAATGCAGCCCAGGGCTCTGTGTCTGCTCAGTCAATGTGCCCCATTGAACAAGGAATTGTTTAGTGTTCCTCTGGGTAACGATCGCCTCTTACGGCCTGAATGCTATCTGGGCAAATGGTATCTTGGCTTTAGAAACCACCTGTGCTTCATACTGCTTATTGGTGTCCATATTGTTTATTGTCAGAACACCTTTGGCTGGGGGTGGGGTGGCTGTTAAGGGGAGGTGGGTCAAGCCCTGGATAGGCAGCTCAGTTGGTTGGAGCATCGTCCTGTATACCAAAAGGTTGTGGGTTTGACCCCCGCTTGGGGTTCAGATGAGAGACAACCAATCAATGGTTTTCTCTCACACTGATGTTTCTCTCTCTCTCTCTCAAAAATCAATTTAAAAATATATGCCTTAAAAAAAAAAAAAAAAAAAGAGGCCGAAACTGGTTTGGCTCAGCGGTAGAGCGTCGGTCTGCGGACTGAAAGGTCCCAGGTTCGATTCCGGTCAAGGGCATGTACATTGGTTGCGGGCACATCCCCGGTAGGGGGTGTGCAAGAGGCAGCTGGTCTGTTTCTCTCTCATCGATGTTTCTAGCTCTCTATCTCTCTCCCTTCCTCTCTGTAAAAAAATCAATAAAATATATTTTTTTAAAAAAAGAAAAGAGGAGGGGGATCAATTTATTTTTCTACTTTTCCATTGAAGAAAAGTGTCCAAAAGGAAATCGCAATATAACAGTCTTAAAGCTCCCCTGTACTATTCCAAGGCATTTAAATGCTCAAAATAAGTAAACAAAAGTTTGGCTTCTTAAAAAAAAAAAAAAAGGAAAGTCATAAACTATAGTCAAATGGCAGCTGGAGAAACCTGCAGAGCTCTGGTCCAGTTAATTCCTTGGGTATAGAAGGTAGGCACTGAGTCTGGGAGGAGAGACTGCGAATCTGGTTGCCAGGCAATGGTTCCCATGGGGAGGAGAGCATCATAGATTGGCTATTGATACATAAAAGATGGGCCAGGACAGAAGAAAGGAGGAAGCTCAGCCACTCTTCATTCCTCTTCTGTTTCTAAGTTGGAGAAGGAAATATATGCAAATAAAGACCCTAAAAGGTGGTTGCAGGTTTACTCTGCAATTAGCGGAGCCACTCTTTGCAAGACAGAAACCAGTTAATTAGAGTGGTTCGAAGAAATCATCTAAACTTTCAGGTAATTCTGAAGATGGGTTGAGGGTCAGCTTTTGAATCCAAGAAGTGCTGAAAAAGTGAGCAATGGAAGGTTTTCCTGAGTGTGAAAATAAATAAATCATCTTTTCTGTCAAAGAACAGCTTAGACAGCCACCATTTTGGACTGCGTGACTTGGCAGTCGCCATGTTGGCCACATGGCTTGCAGCTCCCCTGAGGGCCACCATCTTGAAACAGCAAAGGCCAGCCCCTCCCTTTCAATTAGCCAATCACAAAAGACTGTGTGCCTGAGCTCCTAGCAAGGGACAGGTCACGTGCGTCAGGAATTATAAAGCCGAGCAGCCCACCTGCTGGTGTGCACACGCTTCCAGACCATGTGTGTGCACCCTTCTATGTAAAAGTAAAGATGTTTGCCTTGCTGCCTGGCTCCTGAGTATGTTTTGTGTTCTACCAGAACCCCTGACTTGGGGGGCTCGCCTTATTTCTAACAAAAGGAAGCCCGAGGTAAGCAGAGGTCACAGGCAGGTATGCTTAATGACATATGGTGTTCTTGCATCTCTGAGAAGCTGTGTTGCTGAAAGCAAGCTCTCTATGCTCTCCTGGCTTCCATTTTCTCATCCATAGTTGGCATAACAACAGTGCCTACCTCAGAAGGTGGCTGTGCGAATTGGAAGTTAATATGTATGTAGCACTTAGAACAGTGTTAGTACTTTGTAAGTGCAATATGAGGGTGAGTTACTACTGTTTTGTTTTTCTCTTTTCTTCCACATAAAAAAGAGAAAATGTGAGTTCTTTATGCATTTTAATGTCATGCATTTTTTTTGTATCTGAAGTCTACACTTTGTATGTAGTTCATATTGTGTATCAGTCAGGATGTACAGATTATGCTGGTAACACATACTAGCAGCCCCCACCCCACAGCATCTGCCCTGCCCTCCATCCCCCTTCCCAGAGGCCGGGTATTACCAGGTCTGGATTAGGGTCTACAGAGATCCTAAACCCTAAAAGTTTATGCTGCCTTCCCATCACCATCAAAATTAGACAGTACCATGGCCAGGCAGTGTTGCTCAGTGGTTGAGAATCGACCTATGAACCAGGAGGTCAGGGTCTGATTTCTGGTTAGGGCACATGCCTGGCTTGTGAGCTCTATCCCCAGTAGGAGGCAGCCAATCAATGATTCTCTCTCTCATTGATGTGTCTATCTCTCTCTCCCTCTCCCTTCCTCTCTGAAATCAATAAAAGGAAATATATTTTTTTTAAAACATGTCTCCCATCGTAGTTACACTGAGGCTTTAAAAAAAGCTCAAATTCCATTTCAATCAACTTCTCCCCCTTTTGTTTTTGGGGGTCTGCTTCTTTTTTGCACTTTGCAAGCACCCGCCTTGCCAACTTTTAGGCAATCCCGTGCTACAGCCTAAACCTGTCTCTCGCCCTGCCCGCCCTGTCCAGGCCTCGATGAAATCCAGTGCTCCCTGCCCCCTGAGAACAGAAGGGTGTTCCTGCGCCAGCTGTCGGAGGCCAGCTTCAGCGAGTGCAAGTTCAGTCTCTCGCTCACAGACCTGTTCATCATCATCTTCTCGGGCGTGGCCGTGTCCATCGCTGCCATCATCTCCAGCTTCGTCCTGGCCACCGTGGTGCAGTGCTTCCAGAGGTGCACCCCCAGCAAGGATGCCGAGGAGGAAGAAGAGGATGAGGACGACTGAGCCTCCCCTCCCGTCCCTCGCCTCCCAGAACCCACGCTGGTGGCTCCCGTCCGAGGAGAGAGGGAGATGCTGAGACCCACGCAATCAGTGCCCTGAGCCGCCCAGAGTGACGCCTGCTCCACGCATTGGACCCTGGGACACACCAGGAGGGACCTCCGACCTTAGAGTGTATAATCCTTAGCTCAAGGAGCTCAGGAAGGCTTCCTGGAGGAGGAGCTGCAGCCCAGTGTGGGGTGCGTGGGGAGATGATGGAGTCAAGTTTCACAGCTGCCGGCGGGAAACCAGACTTGCAGCGCACGCCCACAACGATGACTTTGTGACATCCACGTCTCTGGCCTGGCCTGGGCCACCAGGACACACCTCCTTCCTCCCAGGAGGCAGCCGCTCAGACAGTGAGGGTTGGGGTTCAGGTCTCTCTCCCACGTTTGGCTAACATGGCACCCAGGAGAAAGCCACGAGCTGGCTGGAGGGTGATGGTGGTAGTGGTGGTTCCATTCTGGTTGGGAAAACCTTTGTGGACAGAAACCAAACCTTGATTCTTACCGCTGATGCAGCAGCCCACGGAGGAAGGACATTCGCTTTGAACAGCCCCATGGGCTCTGCTCAGAGTCACTTCGCTCTGGCGTTTCCCTCCCCGTCCCCAGACCCTGTCCCTGAGCCGCTCCCCAGTCGTCCCCTCTGCTGGCACTGTTCCAGACTCGCCAGCTCCAGAATTTGCGCTGAAACCTTCCTGGAGGCCAGGCTTCTAGAAAGCAGGAGGCATCGGACCCACAAAATGGTAAAATCATGAAACAAACGAACTGGGACTCGGCCTCTGAAAACCTCCCCCGCGGCCTCAGCGTGTGTGTGTGTGTGTGTGTGTGTGTGTGTGTGTGTGTGTGTGACGTGGTTGTGGAGCTGAGACCATGGCAGGCAGTGGTTTCCAGCGTGTGGGATGCAGCCCTTTGGTTCTGAGACAGCACGGCACCAGCAGTGTCATGGGCCCAGCGGTGTAATGCGAGGCGACACATGTGAGCAGCCCTGGGCCCTGTGGGGATTGACAGATGGGGCCACTTCTCCAAAAGAGACTCGCCCAGGATGTGGTATTTTGTGGAAGAGCCACACTCAAGGGGTCAAAGAGCCGCATGTGGCTCGAGAGCCGCAGTTTGCCCATCACGGCCCTGACCGTTACTTCTTCTTGTCAGTCAGGTCTCAGCTCAAAGGTCACCTTCTCAGAGGTCTGCCTGCCCATCCCAGCGAAAGAGACCCTCACCTGCCGCCCTCGAATGCATTCTCTTCACAGCTCAGGGCTGGGTGGGCCTCCTGGGTGTCGTTGGCTTGCTTGTGCAGATTGCACGCTATGAGAGTGAGTCCCATGCTTGTCATGATTACCCTGTATTCCCAGAGCCTAGACCTGGTGTGGGCTTGGCCGGAGCCTGATAAATATTGTGAAGTCTCTCAGTAAATATAAGCGTCACCTCTTTTTAAAAAATTATATTGTGAAGTGTATAAATGAAGAGGATAGGTGGATGGATGGATAGGTGGGTGGGCTCATGGATGGTGGGTAGGTGGATTGATGAGTGTGTAGGTGAGTGGGTGGACAGATGGGTAGGTAGGTGGATGGATGGATGGATGGATGGATGGTGAGTAGATGAGCAGGTGAGTGGGCGGATGGATAGATGGATGGATGGGTAGATGGAACATTTTCTACTCTTCCCAAGGACTTGAAGTGAGAAGATACAACCAGGGAAGGATTTACAAGATACAGCAAATGCATGAAAGGAAAATGCCTCTTCACTTGCCAGGGCAGTGCTGAGCCCAGGGCTGCGATGCCAGGAGCCACTGCTGGTGTGGCCTCCTCAGCAGTTGCCAGTTTTGTTGTGGCTCAGAAGCCTCCCCTCAGCCTCAGTGTGGGCTGCTGATTAGGGATGCAGACTTCATAGCCTACATCTCATTGGAGAGCCCGAGAGCGAGCCTCATCCGCTCCCTGTCCTGCTGGGCAGTGCAGCAGCCTCCTCTCCTCTCCGAGTCCTCCCGCCCCACCCCCGTGTCCTCTCCTTGGCACGGCCAGCCTTGGCATCTGTGACTGGGTGCAGCGTGATTTCCATCCGTGACCATCTGACCCCTAATTGCTTCCATTAATTACTTGGACAGGCTTTCCCTGCACAGTCCCAGGGACGGCAAGAAGGGGGTGTCCTTCACCCGTCCTTGCCCACCGCCTCCAGCGGGAGGAGACGGGGCCTTTGGCGTTTGCCACTTTTCCAATGATCTGCTGTTCATGGAGGTCAGCCTGTCACTGTGAGCGGTTCCCTCCAAGAGCTCATTCTCTCACTGATCCTGAAGCTTCTACAGAGTCTGGATGCTTTTTGGGAGAGACAGTGTGCCAGCAGGAGGGGTGGGGGTAACAGAGGGCCTGAAATTCCAGCCTGGTGGTCTCTGGCCTCCACTCAGACTCCCAAGCACAGAGAAGCCCAGTCCATGGGGTGTGAGTCCAGGCAGAGCATGACCACCTGCAGCTGCGCGTCCTGCAAACCATCGGCTGGGCATCACCTGAGACAGCACTGGTCCTGTCCTCTGGTTCCAGGGAGAGTGTAGCAGGCTCCCCCTCCCTCTCCCCCTTCACCTGCCTCCTCCCTCTGCCCCTGCCCAGCCCCTTCCCCCTTCCCCCTGCCCCTCCCCTGCCATCTTGAGTCTCCTCTGTGTCTGTGGACACTCACTTCATATAAATGGAGCCAGTATGCGGCCTTCGGTCGGCTTCCCTCGCTCAGCATGTTTTCCAGATGCATCCGTGCCACTCAAGGTGTCAGCACCCCCTGACGCCCTCCCACTGGGCTGCTTTCACGCTGGCACCACCCCGTCCCTCCCAGCACACAGAACAGCCCGAGAAGGGCACGAGCCTCCCTTTTGGGGTGACAGAATGCTCGGGGACTTGATGGGGTGATGGTGGGACCACCTTGTGCACCTACCAAATGCTACGGAACAGTTCACTTGAAGCAATTAAATGTCTGTGATGGTGTTTCACCCAACGGGAAAGGAGAATCCCGCTTCGCTGTTGCAGACACGGGACAGTTTGCTGCAGCCCCGCCCTCCTTTCGGCTGGGATCCAGACCCAGAGAGGATGCTCTGACCGTCCTTCTGACTGGCCTTTCTGACCACATGCTGGCTCTCCCTCCGGGCCTAGGCTCCTTCTGTCCGATCTTCAAGGCACATGCGTTGAGCATCTTCTCTGGGTCAGGTTGGCCCTGACCTTGCTCTAAATAGACCAGTGGGCTCTGGCTGGTTTGGCTCGGTGGATAGAGTGTCAGCCTTCAAACTGAAGGGTCCCACGTTCGATTCCAGTCAAGGACACATGCCTGGGTTGTGGGCACAAGAGCGGGGGGGGCGGGGGTGCATGTTCAGGAGGCAGCCGATCAATGATTCTCATCATTGATGTTTCTATCTCTCTTTCTCCCTCTCCTTCAGCTATGAAATAAATAAAATATATATATTTTAAAAGATAGACCAGTAGGTACAGCCCCCGCCCTAGAAAAGAAATGAAGTATGTTTGTTTTGTTTTTGTGGGGGGGCGGAAATCAAGGAAAGAAAAAGGTGGAACCACACAGAAATGAACACCTTTGGATCTCCTTGGCAACCTAACTCACATCCGCTTCAGGTGGTTCCACAGTCCACGTGGAAATGGGAGGCAGAGAGACAGCAGGCAATTTATCTCTCTGGAAAGAGTTCATGGTCTTGGGTAACCATCGTTTTTTGTTTTGTTTTGTTTTTTAATGTTTTTTTCTCTATTAATTTTTAGATAGAGAGGAAGGGAGAGGAGAGAGACAGAAAGATTGATGAGAGGGACACATAGATTAGCTGCCTCCCGCAACGCCCCCTACTGGGATTGAGCCCGGAACCAGGCATGTGCCCTGACTGACTGGGAATCGAACCCCGGACCTCTTGGCCCATGGGATGCCACTCAATCCACCAAGCCACAGCAACCAGGCTTTGAAAAGATGGGAACTGGAACTTTCAAAACAGAATAGACAGCTATAGGTCGTGGCAGCTTCTTCATCGAGGCCCACCTGGGCCAAGAAGCCCTGACCTGGCTCTGAGATTCCATCTTTTGGGGGCCAGGAAGCCTTTTCCATTGCTGAGACCAGGGCCATTGGCGGCTCTACTTCTCAGGTCCGTTCTCCGGATGTCCTAGACTGCCCTCTTCTGGCCATCTGCGCTGTGGTAAGCTGGAGTCATCTCTGGTTTTCTTGCTTAAGAAACCCTGCTTCCACCACTTCCTGGTGCCTGAGCTTGGACAAGAGCAGTGGCGTCCTTTGACAGGGGTCGGCCTGCTGTCCTTCTGACTGGCCTTTCTGACCACGTGCTGGCTCTCCCCCGGGCCCAGGTTCCTTCTGTCCCATCTTCTCTGGGCCTGGTTAGCACTAGATAGCATCCCAAGGGCATCTCCATGCCAACCACACCTCGCCTTCCACCCTTCTTAGGAAAATGACCTTAGGAACACATCGGAAGGCTTGTATTTCAGACTAATTAGAATCAGAGGATTTTAGAACGAGAAAGTTTTTAAATTACTAATCATTTGTTTCCCCGCCAGTGTGCTGGCGTGAATATTGAGATGCAAAGAGGTAAAGTGACCACAGTCCGGGTAGTGAGCTGGCTAATGGCACACCAGGATTGGAAGCCTCCCTAGCACCTAAGACTGGATTCGCTCTGCAGAACACCAAACAAGCAATTAACAGCAACAAAACCCGCACCACGGGGGCGTGAACAGGAGAGCAGCTTGTTTCTCAGACCAGGTGGTCCGCAAAGGACTGTGTGGCTGCTTCACAATCCCAGGCACCCCAGGTTCCTTCTAACCGTGGCTCTGCCATCCGCAACACCTGGCTCCCACCTCATAGTCCACCGTGCCTGCCTGAGCTCCAGCCATCACATCAGCATCCTAGCCAGCCAGAGAAGGAACAGAGTGAATAAATTTCTAGAAGTCCCATACAACACTGCTGCTCATTTCTTATTGGTTTGAACTTGGTCAT